AAATAAATAAATAAATAAATAAATAAATAAATAAATAAATAAATAAATAAATAAATAAATAAATAAATAAATAAATAAATAAATAAATAAATAAATAAATAAATAAATAAATAAATTAATTAATTAATTAATTAATTAATTAATAATTTATTAATAAATTAATTAATTAATTTAACCCCTTCGTTCGTTGAAATCATGGCCTCGATTGGATCACCGTGGTAAAAGATGCGACAGTGACAATAGTGCGAAAATGTTAAGGATAAGACAGTAACAAAGATGCGTCAGTAGCTTGATTAGTGAGATTCCCATGGAAACCATGTTGACAGTACTTTTGACCCAGAAATATCGTTTATTTGGTAATAAACAGAACGCGTCATTTCACACCTATTCGTGACAAGTAGACGATTATCGACTTTCGAATTTGAATTTGTTTTTGCAACAATATTTTAAAATGACCCTGTTACTTTTAATGATATGAAACATTAAGTGTCGAACGTTTTTTTACTTGTATAAAAGTAATTGATTGTTAATAATTGAAAATAGTCCGGGGCATGTATTTTACGACAAAGTATCTTTTGATAGGTGAATTGAATGCTAATTCCAATCATATTAAAAGTTTGAAAAGTTAATGCTGACATTGGGATGAGCTATACCGACATAACCAAATGACTATCTAGGGATGGGATGTATTTTAACTTCATATTGACAATTCGTCACATCGTAGTATCCAGTCTATTGTTACTTACCAGTAAGATCACAAAGCACAAGACTACATGAAGGCATGTAACCAATATCTAGATCGTCCACAATATCTCCCAATTTCGCTCTTTTCCCGAAATAATTCTCATTCGTCTGTCGTTTTTCAGCTTCTTCCCCAGCGAAATCATCAACGATGTCATCATTGTCAGGTCTTTTCCCGAAGTTATTTTTCACATTTGGTGCTCGTTTTCCGAAATTATTCCCATTCGACTTTCGTTTCTCGGCTTCTTCCCCAGCGAAATTTCTGAAGATATCGTCATTGTCAGGTCTTTTCCCGAAGTTATTTTTCATATTTGGTGCTCGTTTCCCGAAATTATTCCCATTCGACTTTCGTTTCTCGGCTTCTTCCCCAGCGAAATTTCTGAAGATATCGTCATTGTCAGGTCTTTTCCCGAAGTTATTTTTCATATTTGGTGCTCGTTTCCCGAAATTATTCCCATTCGACTTTCGTTTCTCGGCTTCTTCGCCAGCGAAATTTCTGAAGATATCGTCATTGTCAGGTCTTTTCCCGAAGTTATTTTTCATATTTGGTGCTCGTTTCCCGAAATTATTCCCATTCGACTTTCGTTTCTCGCCTCCTTCTGAAGATAGCGCTTCTTGATCCATTTCCAGTTCCGAAGATTTTACCATTTCGAGTAATGCTATACACACAACCAGGCCAAGCACGCCGAAACATTTCATTTTGAATATCTGTGAACACGCATGACACAATCAAGATCACGTATTAATGTATTACTGCTGATCAATATACAAGGGCATGGAATTCATTAGCACATAATATATTAATTCAAAAAGTGGGTCTTGGAAAATAATTCCTTCTGACTACTCTTTGCGATATTGATATTGATAGTAATAGTACGAAGGAAAGATAGTATCGGTAAAGTTTACACACACGGCACATTTCAATGGTAGAATTAGATTCAATCTCAGGAAACGAATATAATTAGAAAGTACGGTACTGATTCAAAAATTGTTGCCACACATCAAGGGACACACTGAATGTATGTGAGTTTACGGCATACTGAAATGCATTGTAATAAATACTCGTGCAGTTTTTGGGACAGAGCCTAGACAAAGAGTTAGACAATACGTGAAAAGTATTAAGTGCGCCGGCTGCAATATTAGTGGAAGACATTGACTCTTATCAGTAACACATATTTTGTGTATAGTTCTGGTGAACATGCAATTTTGCTGCGAAAAATCCTACCTTATAGTGCCCAGCTCTATGAGAAAAAGACGCTACTGTTGCGAACAGCAGTCCAATATATACTAAGTATGGGATCGTTAGCGGATATTTATATTACTCACTCAGGGTAATATGACGTCAACTAGGATGTGAGTTTTTTCTTCAAAAAAGCGCCCAATTGCTTTTTACTATAATGAAGTTGAGATTGTCCGTGTACGTTATACGCATTCTTGCATTCTTCGATTCGGCTCGTTATCACATTGGTTACGAGCTATAGGTGGTTTGCTTTTAATGAGTTTTCTCGGAGTAGGAAAGTACTTAAATTAGTAGCCCGCTGAGACCGCTTGTCGTCAATAACATGTGTGAATATTACGATTACGTATATTGACATGGATAATTGTCCGTGTGTTCAATTAATTCCTGGGTGTATATCGTGATTGTTTTAACGATTCCAATTGTCAAGTCCTCGGATTGTGTTTGAAAAGCTAATTGGGACACGTACGTCGTCTTGAGAATCACTTTAAAAAATTTCAAATTGTAGCGGGTGTAATAGTTTGTATTCATTTACCATTTAATATGAAACATTTTCCAAATGTTAAACGCAATAATGTGCATTAAACAATATTACACGTAAGAAATGTTAACACTCACGTTTGAGTTTAAAATGGTTTTGTGGTTTCATGTTGTCAACATTTCTGGATTTCTGGCTTTCATGAGTATTTGTTTGACTACTCTTCACTGTTGCTTTCAACTTTCCTGCCTGAATGACACTCTAATTAAATTATACGACATGTCTTACTAGCAAAAATATAAAACATAGACGTGTACCCCATCTTAAGGTAGCGAAGGAAAATTTTCATTTTTTTTCTTGATTTTTTTTTAAATTTATAAAACGGTTACTTTAGATATCGATGCGTCATCCCAGCTTATCAAAAGATCGAAATTTCGGAAAGAAGCTGCTCAAATTAGTGTTTTAAAAGCTAACAAAATAACTACAACTGCCGTGTTGTGGATATTTGCATAATGTTTATATTTGCCACGGTTATACCATGGTTATTCGTACACTCTGTTATTGACGAATCTGCTATAACAGGTGTTAAGCTTTTTGTAGCAAACAATGGTGTTTATCTAACGCCCGATGTCAGCATTGTGGTCATACCTTTGCGCATCTTTCTTTTAAATAGTTTTATTTTCGAAGTCAATATTCTATTTTACTAACGCAATGACGAGGAAAAGATAGAAAGCGAAGATGCTGATGACAGGCGAGGCAAATAAAAATCTGCGACACCGTAACGCGGGGTCATATTATTATGACCAACCTCGCGAGTGGTTCGAAAA